AAGTAAAGGAACGTAAAAATTATAGTATGATTCATAAATTGATAAAATAAAATCTGTTTTTGTTCACACGAAAGATATTTTTGTTATACAAATAATTTCTTCCGTAACATTTGGGGAACCACATATAAAAGTCTTGCTTTCAAAGTTTGGGACACTATGCATAGTTAGAAAACTTTTTGTGGGGATTTTATCTCTTTTTTTGTCTAAACATGTAAAAGAAAAAGTCTGTCTGAAAGTAAGTTCACTAACAGCTTGAGAACGGGAGCACCGATTTGAATCGTTTTTTATTCTGCAGCAAGCAAATTCTCAAGTAAATTCTCAATCACCTTTCTCCGGCATTACGTAATTCGAGCAGAGTAGCAAAAATATAAAATTTCTATAAAGAAAACTATTAAGACATAAGCTATCATGGAAATAACTTGTTTACAAAATATTTAGGCAATAGAAACAGACAAAAATACTAAAAAAACTGAAAGTTATACATGCTGCAAGCTTCCTAAGCACATAGTTTAATTGCAGAAGTAAAACTGGTATAAACAAATATGCAAACTGACGTAAGTTATCGAAAATTGTGAAAAAGATTATATTTCCTCGTAATTGATAATGCTTAACATAAATATAATTATTTTGATTGAAAGGCGTTTAAACTTCAAAGCCTTTTAATTAATTAAATTCGGATTCTAAAACATTTCATAGCTATCGTTCACATCTTCTTTCGATAACTAATTTTAAGCTCTTGAACTTTATATCAATATACTTTTAATAAATGTATCATAAACTTATAAATCGAAAATATCTAAAAAAAAAATCAGTACCTATCAGTTATTGGTGCCTTGAAGCCAAGTTTGCCAACAAATAAAACAACATCAAGTTCATAATTTAAAAACAGTAACTGTTGCAGATAAGACACATTGACGCATTTAATATAACGATATTGTGAATATTATTCATAGTGATAATTATTAAAGGTTGCTAAACTTTAATTGGTCTATAAAATAATAACAACATTGTAGAAATTTTTAGAAATCAATGTAAAACTACTAATTCCTTGTATTTATCACTGAAATAAAAAAATATGTTGATTTTTTTTGCATTTTTTTTTCAAAAAAATTGGTAAGCGAAGCTGTTAATAAAATAAAAACATTAGTTTTATCGATGATCTTTGGAATAAGAATGTCAAAAATGATAGTTTAAAAGTTTAACACTGAAACCAGGTAACAAATCATTAAAGACAAAAGAAAAAAAAAGGGCGCAACTTACCTTTGTTCTAAATGTGATTTCAGATTCGATCGTATTAACTTTATATAATGATAAAAAAGAAATAAACTGAAATTTCCAATTGAATTAATTGAGTTTTATATTTAGACAGCAGATATGCCTTTAATGAAATGACTTACGAATGATGCATTGGCACAACTATTAACATGATGTCACAGCTTTTCTGATTTGATAAAATGATATTATTTTTTATACTCTTGAGATTTTGTCTTTTCTTTATATGTTTTTTTAGCAATTGTTTTTTTTTTTGTTACAGAATAATTTATAAAGGACTTTCAAATTGGAACTGTTATTTCTGTGTTATAAATATCTTTCATTGCATGATATATATTTATCCAAAAGACAACTGCGTCAAAAAATTACATTTATGTGCTAATTAAATTTATTTGCTAATTAAGCTTATTTGCTGAATTTAAATTTATTATAAGAAATAATTTGATACTTGGGATATATATATTTCTTACTATTTGATTTGAGATAAAAAGAAAATTTTTGATATATCAAAGTTTTGCCATTATGATTTCTCATATACTGCTTCATATCTTAACATAAAATCGTTTACGAAGCTTTATATTTGTTTTCACAACTTATGTATGAATATTTAAATAGTAATTGTTTTAAATATTTTTAATAAACAGTAAATAAAGAGAAATAAATTAAATTCAAATTTTTCAATTTTGCACATTTCAAGATGCACAAATTTCTGAAATAGAGCAACAAAATGATGAATAAGTTACAGTCGCAACATTGTAACATAATTCAAATCCCGCATTATTGAAATTGTATTTAAATTTAACCCGCTATCACTCGTTTGGCTTTCAGTACGTTTCTGAAATTTTTTGAACATTTCTAAAATAATTTTAAGAAAAATATTTCCCCTGGAATAATTTCGAAGGTGGCAAAATATTATTTATATCTCTTTTATTTACTCGATTAGAATGATTAGTTACCTATCTACAATGCATAAAAATTATTACTGTACAAAATATTAATGGGTATGTATAAATTTAGTCAAAAATATAAAATTTATTTTTCATGCTGACAAAAAAAAAAGAAAATTGAAAACTGAAGTTATTCATTGAGTGAGCAATCATAAATTTGAAAGTTTAAATCCTTGTGTACGATATTGTTCTGATGGTAAGTCACGAATCCCAGTAGATCACCGAAGTAAAGGATCTCTGCTCGGTATCGGTACTCGTTAAACTGTTCCCGTATTCGATTCCGCCCTCAAGGGTTCGGGCTACTAAGGCGGGGACGCATGTATACTCTTAGTAGAGAGAAGCTACCCTCCCTAAAATGCACTATTCTTGTTACCATCGCAGTGGACGGTCTCAGACTTGGTGGTGTTGGGGGGAGATCTTACCATAGACAAACTATGCTTAAGAGATTTAAAATTAATTTTGCTTTTGCGAATAAATCCTTACAAATGAAATTCATTGTTTCACATAATTAATAATAGTAAATAAGTACGCATTTCGACTTTTGTTGTACTTAACATTTTACTAACAGATTTACCACAATACGTACTATATTATTGGAACATGTAAGAGACAGAAATATTAAATCAACTCTCAGTTCAGAAATGTGAGTTTACTATACTTACATACAGTTTCGATTTTTGATTGTGAGATTTTTGTCAAAATGCTTGAAATTCTGCTCATTAAAAAGGCTGATAGTTATATATATGTATGAAATTTGAAAAATTCAAATATTTTACAATGAAATTTGATCGAGGTGGATTAGGGGTCATATAATTGTCACAATTCTTGTATAATTAAGATCAGTTGTTTCAAAAAGGAGAATTGATATCATTGTACTGTTTATAGAAAATGATGGTAATCATATTAATTTATTAATGATACTTGACTGATACTTGAATGATACTATNAGTTAAAATTGTTATAATAAATTATGAAATAATATTATCGAGAAATATTAAATTTTAATTTATTTTAATTAAAAAATTTTCATATCATATTATAATTACACTAAAATTCATTATAATTGCTGAAAAATCATTAAATTCTGAAAAAAAAACTTTTTTTTATTTGACAATAACTTCGTCAAAAAACATGTTTTTTTGAAAATTTTCTTTTTAAATGAAAGCTAAAAGTCCAAATTTTTCAATGGTATAATAAAAATTAACAATATCTAACCCCTTTGCGCCCGTACATCGCGTCAAACTTCACAAAAAATTAATACAATTTTCTATGATTGTTTAGAGTGTAATTGTACATAGTTGCAAAATATATTAATTAAAAACACTTAGAGTACATAAAAGTAGAGATTTTAAGCTTCAAAATGAGATAAAGCAGAAGCATTTTTGATCATTTTTAAAGAAGTTATGACACTTTGAATTTTGCCATTTTTTTATAAGTTTCTAGGTGTACTGATACTTTTGAGCGGCAATGTATATGTATATATATGTATATATATATGTATATATATATGTATATATATATGTATATATATATGTATATATATAGATATATATATATGTATATATATATGTATATATATGTATATATATATGTATATATATATGTATATATATATGTATATATATTAACATCGATTTAAAAAATAATGAGTGTTTGTAATAAGTAGTATTTTTTGCAGTTGAAATTTGCAGCAAAATTTTTTTTCACGCGTTAAAATTTGTTTTTAAAGAAATAAGCATACATTGTTTTTAAAAATGTATTGCTCACTCTACCTAGTTCAATCTAACAATTTAAACGTATGTTTATCGATTTTCAAAATAATTAGTTTTCAAACTAGTGGCTCAGCGTTATCTCAGTGGCGCGCCAGCCCATAGAGGGCCAAGGCCTGTTGTGCCCATCTCAGTTTTTTTGACCGAGGGCACTGGGGTGCAGGAGCAGCTGTTCCGATTGGATATCCGGGTGAACGCAGAGCCCCCAGTGCTTAATACCTTTTATCAACCCTTTGAAGCGATGAAAGGCTAAAGCAAACTTGCCCAGCCTAAAGATCGAATCCACGACCCGTGGCATTAGAGCGCGAAGCGCTACCGCTTAGCCATCGGGCTTCAATTAGTGTTTATAATAAATAGTAATTTTTGCAGTTGAAATTCGTAGCAATTATTTTTTTATACGGTAGAAATGATTTTCTTTTAAAAAAAAATAAGCATAATAGAAGTATAAATAAAATTCTTCACAAACTAAGCAAATCATCTCTAAATATAAAAATTTCAAAAAGCTGTAATTTTACTAAATGTCTCTTATGAAGAAAGTTGTTGGCATATTTTTACATTTAAAAATAAATAAAAACTATCGTATTTTGCAATTTTTAAATATAAAAATAATTGCACGAAAAAGAATAAAATAAAATTTACATTTTGCCAGAAAATTAAATGGGTGCAGGTTTGGATGGTTCTTTTGTTACACCTAAAAAAAATTAGCTAGACTACAGAGTTTTTCTTTCAACAAAAATTTCCAGTGTTTGTTTGAAGTTTTTCTTTCTTTAAATTAGTGACGTTCAGATAAAAACAATTGAATATAGTAATGAATGGAAAAATATAGAATAACAGTGAAATATGGTAATAATTTTACGCATTTTCCAAAAAGAACATTTATACATCAAACCGTTTCCTTGTATTGTTTCCTGAGAGGTACTTTACATGTTTTCAAACCAACTACTAGATGGCAGCGCTGTACACAAAAAAATTACTGGAAATTATTATTTTTGTTTTATTTAAATACAACAAATGTGGTCAAAGAAGAAACAATCTTTATTTTTTATATCAAATAATATTTATTGCGTTATTTGTTTAATTAATTAAGGCTCGCATCCATCACAGCATTCAGGAAAGGTCTTTGCTGGATCCCCTTTTACAGGTCTGCAATCTGGGGGTCCATCACCACAGCTGAAAGAATAATGT